ACCCCCTCTCTCATTTGCTATAGTGCACCGAGCCTCACATAGGATTTTAAAAATTTAAAATCTTATGTGGCGCCCGGTGCACTGTAGCAAATGAGAGAGGGGATGTAGTTGAAGTTATGGTAGGGGGTGTGCCCCTATCATTTTCCTTAAGCAAAAAAGTATAACACGCGCTTTTGTGATCAGGAAAATGCCGGAGGACAGACATCAATGTTGTTCAGGGTAGCTAGCTAGGGAGCCGCCTAGGTTTACTTTTTGGACTAGAAGATTAAAAATGACAAATAATAGAAAAAGAAAACAAAAGATAAAACACTACCGATGTGTTTGAATACCATGATCATATCTGTATTGTACGTCTTTCTAAAAAAACACTGCACCATGGTGTTTTTCTCCAAAACTATTTTCAAACATTGTACTGAGTTCATTTTGTCAAAACTAGTTTGACTCTTCTCATATATATAATATTATTTTCTATTATTACAAAATATATTATATAAAATAGTGTTAGTTTAATTATATTATGTTGGATTTTTTGGTCAAAACCGCTTTCCAAAATGAGTTTTCAAACTATATATATATTAACTACAACTACTTTTCATAAATGCTTAATAACCTAGTAAAAAGTTAATGTTTTGGTGTTTTAAAAGGTCATCTGTTCGAGTCTTACCAACGACAAGCCAAGAAGTATTTTATTTTAATTAATCCCTCATAAGTTCTAGTGGGTCGTGGGCTCGTGGGTCGTGAGCCGGGGGTCGTGGCTAATCGGGCTGAGGCGCTAAGTGGCGTTTTGTTAGGTGCGCTTTGACCATGAGTCGTGGGCCAATGAGCCGGGGATCGGGGCTAATCGGGCTGAGAGATTGAGTCTTTTGTGAAGGGTTAAAAATATTCTAATTCTGTTTGGATTCGCTAGTTAAGACAAGGGGTTAAGTCTTTTGTGTTTGGCAAATGAAGAAGGGATAAGGAGATTAATCTCATAATTTTTTTACAAAATACCACTTTCGTCCTTATTGAAAATTTATAACTAATTGCCTCATTAATATCTTTTTCGTGTTATATACCTTCTGAGCGATTTCAAAGATTTGAAGCGCTAATATGTAGTTCAGTTGAGACACGAGGGATAAATATTTTTTTTAAATAACGCTAAAATAACAATTTCGTATTATTCAATAAATGATTATTCAGAAGGTAAATAAAAGTAAATTATCATTTTCGCATTATTTCAAAAGCTAAAGAGAGATAATGAGCTAACAAAATATTATATGGCTTCTTATCTATCAATAAACCTAGCAAAAAAAATTTGATTATTAAAAAAAAGATTTGATTATTCAAGAAAAAAACAATCTACTCAATAGCTCTATATAAAATTATAACTTTTGCTCATATAAAGATAGTAAAAGACATAATTCAACCTCCTTATACTTTAATATTCGACAACTACATATTTTAATTATTCTAAAGCTATAAAGCAATCCTGTTACGAAGCTGCTCACCCCTTAAACTTTCATCTGTACCAACCATGTATTAGGGGTCTTCTTCCTCCTCCACCTCATCTTCATCCTCATTGTTGAGTATATTAAAGTATTTATCATTTCCTTGATGCCTTGCAATAAAATTATGAAGAACACAACAAGCTACAACGATTTTGACTTGAGTTTTATAAGGAAATGGAGTAGCAACTTGTAAGATTTTGAATCTTTGCTTTAAAATTCCCGATGCTTTTTCCACTGCATTACGTAGTTGTGCATGTCTATGATTATATTTGTATTTAGTACATCGATAGGTTCTGGTGGTTCCTGTAGGCTGTCTAAAAATCACAATGGATAGTTAATCCCTATTAAACCCCGACAATGGAAGTTACAATCGCAACCGCTATAAACACGGCCTCATCTCTGAGATGATTGATCTTGATGGCTGCGACAACAGCATGACTAATATTATATTAGCAACTATTAGAGATGCTGATGAGCAGTGTAATGATTTCAGAAATTAAAAGGTTGGACTTAGTTGGTGAGTTGCTTGGTAGAGAGCTGTGGGCAAATATTCGTCTAAAAATCACAATGGATGATTAATTCCCGTCAAGCTTCAATGATAAAAGCTACAATCAAATAGCTTTCGTGCCGACAAATGAAGGTAACAAATAGAGGACTTTTCACACAGATAGAGAAGAGTTACAATTCAACGACGCTTCCGATAGCTGATGAAAACTCTATTTAGTTACTTTCACAATCAACAGTGAGAGTTACAATCTGACGACTCTCATATCCTATAACAGGCAGGCAAAGATCAATAAGCGGTAGCCTTTGCAGTGTTACAATGGACGAGGTTACAAGTCAACAACCTCTCTCAAACGCAGAACTCACCTCTGCATTTCTCAAATTCAAAACACAGACGAACTGTGCGTTCTCCAACAGACATCCAACTCTGCAACGCAGAGTTAAAACACAAAACGCACGAACTGTGTGTTCTTTGGTAAACACTCAACACTGCATCCCAAATCCAGAACGCAGAGTTAAGAACTCAACACACAAAGCGGCCCGTGCGTACCAAATATCTAACAGA